TTTTGCCATAGGAAGACTGTAGGGGTTGTACTTACCAAAAGGACTCTTAATGATCACAACCGAGGCAACTTCCAGAGGCTCACTGATGCCAAAAGTGTTCTGGGCTGAAACCCGGAAGTAATAGCCAGCATTTTCTGTGAGGTTTACAATTCTGCAGGTTGTCACTGAGATGGCTGAAGACACCAATTGCCATTCAGCCCCTTCCTTGGCCTCACATTTCTCCACCACATAGTTGGTGATCCAGGAGCCTCCATCATCTGCAGGTGGTTTCCAGCTGATCACTGCCGAGTTCTTCAATAGAGCTTCTATCACAATTGGTCCTGTGGGTTTGTCTGGTTTATCTGTTGTGAGAAAATACAATGATAGTGGTTTTCTTTGTAGTATGTCACCTGAGATCTCTTTTTTCCTTGAAAAATGAAAAAAACACTAAAAACTAAAATAAAATACCTTGTATTTCCACATCAAGGATGGCAGTAACTGTTCCGAAGACATTGCTGAGCTGAATTTTGTATTTCCCAGCATGAGTCTTACGTTGGACATTCTTCATGACAAGATGAGTATAGTGCTCAGTGTTTTCAATAGTAATGTTTTCTGAGTTTTGCAAAAGTTTCTGGCCATAGAACCAAGTGATGGAAGGTACTGGACGACCAATGTACATGACATGAAGTCGAAGTGTCGAACCCACAGCACCATAATATTTCTCTTTCAGTGGGTAACCAGGATGGAACTGTGGTGTTGCTTGCAGGAGAAGCTTACTACTGGTTTCTACTTCTCCAACCTCATTAGTAGCTATGCAGGTATAAACACCTTCATCTTCTTGTTCCTCTGTCATTACTGTTAGCGTATGTGTGCGTCCATCTGAAGACATTTTGTACTTCCGGCTTTGTACCAGCTCCTTACCAAATCGGTACCATTTAATGTCAGGAAGAGGCCTTCCAACAATCTGGCATGACAGTTGAGCAGCTTCGCCCAGCTTGGTGGTAACATCCTTCATTTCTTTGCGCACTCCTGGAGCCTCTCCAGCTGAAGAAGATGAAAGATAATAGTAATGCATTATTATTACTACTGAATCTGTAATCCTCTGTCCTTGTACATCAGGAATGAATTTATCCTTTTGACTAACACTCTATTAGATACCATGACTTACACATGAGTCTAGTTCTTAAAAATTTCATAGCGCTTTTCCTGAGGCCCTATGGCAAATAGGGATTCAGTGAGCACATCATCACATTATTATGTAGAGTGACTTTTCTCTTTACAGTGGGGAGACATCGATAATGTTTAGGGGTTTGGGGAAATATGAATTCTCTCTATGAATCTATAGAGAGAATCTTTGCCTTAGGTTCACTGAAGTGGGGTACATTTGTTGACCATACAAGTCTTATTAGGAAGCATAAAAAAAATCCCAAACCATTGCATTTGAAGGAGAAATGGCTCTAAGAAGGTGCTCAGGTCACTGCACTTAACATCAACTGAGTTATGTGCTTGGAATGACTTCCTATAGAACATAGCAGCTATTTCCTGTGTGTGTATATGCCAAAGTGAGTTCACTCTTCCCAAACACTTGCTCTCCAGTAAGGTTTTCTGTATGTCTACTTAATATAAAGGAGGAATTAGCCTCAATACGTTGCTTAGTTTGTAGGTCATAAGCAGAGAACTAGTGGCTACTTACATGTCAGTTTAGTCTTTATAGACATAGCAGTTCTTCGAGGTCTGCTAAGCCCGGTCTCATTCTCAGCAAAAACCCTGAATTCATATTCAGTGGCTTCCAGCAAACCCCCTATTGTGAATTGTCTGTCCTTGATGCGGTCCTTATTGCTCTTCTTCCAGGCACTGTCTCCAGACTGCCTATATTCAACCCAGTATCCAAGGATTTCTTTGCCACCGTCACATTCAGGTTTCTCCCACTGTAGAGTGACACTATCTTTGGATATTGAAAGAATCTCAAGTTCTCCAGGTTGGCTTGGCTTATCTGAAATATTTTTAAAACAATTGAAAAGGGAATCAGCTTTACTGCTGAAATAAAAGAGAAAGACCAAAGATGGCTTGCCTCTTTGGTTTGAACCCCTTTAGAAACTCTCTCCTTACCAAATGGATCTTTGCAAACAACTGGTTCAGAAGCAGGGCTGGTCTCGCTTAGGCCAACATCATTCTGTGCGATGATGCGGAACTGATACTCTGCATCAGGAACAAGCCCAGTGACGGTGTACATTGTGGTTGTTATCTGAGTCTTGTTGTGCCTGACCCACTTGTCAGTTGATGTCTCCTTGCGTTCAATGTAGTAGCCTGTGACTCGAGAACCACCGTCGTCTTTCGGCCGGGACCAAGACAGGCTGACAGAACTCTTGGTCACATCGAGTACTTCTGGAGGATTGCTTGGAGGCTCTGGAGGATCTATGGATATAAAGTAGAAAACGTGTGTTAAGAGTACGGTCCCATATCTTGTAAGCTGATGGCTTTCATTTCAAAATGAAAGAGTACTGGAAGATTTTGTACAGTGTGGTGGTTGGAAGAGTACTTACTCAGTGGTGTTTTTGGTATGACTGGTTCTTCAGATTTCAAGGGTTTGCTTATGCCAAACTGGTTTTCAGCTGAAACACGGAAATGGTATTCCACGTTCTCTTTGAGGCCTTTTACCACCAGAGATGTACCTCGGACTCTGGAATCAATTGTATACCAGGCGGCTTTAGACACTTCTCGTCTCTCAAGAATATAGCCTAAGATGTCAGCACCACCATCATCGGCAGGGGGTCTCCAACTGACCCTCACAGAGCGAGCTTGTATGTCGTCATATTCAAGTGGCCCTTCAGGAGGGTTGGGATTTCCTATCACCCTGACTTTGATGTAGACAGCCTTCTTGCCACACTTGTTTTCCAGAACCAGGTCATAAGTGCCAGAATCATCCCTGTCTGCTTCTTTGATTACAAGCTCAGTGTGTGTTTCAGAGGTTGCAATCATGGCACGCTTACTAACATCTTGGCCTTCCTTGGTCCATTTACATATTGGGAATGGTTTTCCTTTGATTGGTATGGTAAGTCTGATGACTCCACCTTGTCTTACAAAGATACCTTCTTGGTATCTTTCATCAAGTTCATAATCAGGATATTCTGGGGAAAAAAGAGCCAGTTACAATTAGCATTTTTTGGGCAGTGGGGGGATGGTAAGAAATAAATCCTAAGGCAATTATTAGCAGAAAGTAAGTGATCATATGTCTTACCAAGCATTTCAGTGACTTTGACTGTTCCTGGTACCTCAGCGGGCTCCCCAGGTCCACCAGCATTACAAGCTAGGACACGGAATCTGTATTCAGTGCCCTGAGGCAGATGTGTTAGGGTATACTCCCGAATCTTGGTTGGGGTGGTATTACATTTGGTCCACTCATGTTGATCTACTTTTTGCATTTCAATCAAGTAGCCAGTGACTTTAGATCCTCCTTCATCTTCTGGAACACTCCAGGCTAGGGAGACTGATGTCCTTGTTGTATCAGTAACTCTTGGGTTTTGTGGCTTTCCTGGAGGAGCTGGGGTTAAGAATAAGACAACAAGATATTGTTGCTGCAAAGCTGAAACTCAGCTCTGCCACCTAACATGCAATGAGTTGTGTAAACATGGACTGTTAGCATTAGAATACAGTTTTTTGTTAAAATTTTATTCATTTTTATCAGTTAAAAATACTTAAAGCTCTTGGCTTTTTCCTTTGTCTTAAATGTGCTTTGTTTATGATCACTACTACCATCTTACATTTATCATCAGATTTTAAAGTGCTTTCAGAAATATTAACTTATTCAAAGAATTAAACACTGATATAGGGCATGAATTATAAGTCCCATTTTAAAGAATGGGAAATAGATTCAAGAGGAGACTATAAAAAGTTACTTGCCCAAAGCTGCTAGGGGCTGGAGTGGGGAGGGTATCCACAAATGAACTTTTGGGGCTGATGGAAGAATTCTGTATTTTGACTGGTGTGGTGCTTATACAACAGGACCTTTTCAAAACTTAGAATTACATATTTCAGAAGGATAAATTTTACTACATTTAAATTATACCTCAAAAAATTGTCCTATACACAATGTATTTACCAATTGGATCCATGGCAACGATGGGTTTGGAAGGACGACTTGGTTTCCCAGTCCCTCTCACATTAATGGCTGTGACACGGTGTTCATATTCTAAGCCTTCAATAAGGCCAGTGGAACGGTACCGTGTCATTGTCACTGGTACTTTATTTACACGGACCCATCGATCTGCTCTCACTTCTTTGCGCTCGATAATATATCCAGTCACTTGGGAGCCACCATCGTTTTCTGGTGGGTACCAAGTCAGTGTCATGCCATCACGGGAGACATCAAATATTTGTAATGTTTCTGGAGGTCCAGGAATACCTTCAGTAAAACAGAGGTAAACACATTATGGCAATGAGAATACATTAAAATAAAGACTCACACATTTCTGTAAGTATGTCTTAGCTTTTTTTTTTTTTAAAGATTTATTTATTATGTATTTTGAGAGAGTGAGGATGAGAGAGAGAGAGAGAGTACATGAGAGGGGGGAGGGTCAGAGGGAGAAGCAGACTCCCTGCTGAGCAGGGAGCCCGATGTGGGACTCGATCCCGGGACTCCAGGATCATGACCTGAGCCGAAGGCAGTCGCTTAACCAACTGAGCCACCCAGGCGCCCAGTATGTCTTAGCTTTTTAAATAGCATGTAAGACTTGTGACTATTTTTCTAATTTTTGTACTTTTCTTGAGATTCCTCATTTTCTTCAATTGTATAAATACTTATTAAGCATGCATTCTGTATTTTTTTCTCACTATAACCTAGCCAGTCCCTCCTGTCTCCATCCCTCCTTTTCTCCTTCCTCTTTTTCATTAAAAAAAAAAAATTAACCATGTTGAAAATCTCCAGGAAAATTTAGAAACCTTAGAAAGACCCTGGGGTGAATTTCGGGACCTCTTTTTCCTTATGACATAGTAAAAACAGATTCCCTTCTGTTCACGTTCAGAATCAGGTGGGGAGAATGGTGGCCTGAAAGGTCCAAGGACTTACTGATGCTGCTGCGACATTCTATGACCTCAGACTGCAAGTAAGAGCCAATCCCGAAGCGGTTTGTTGCAGCCACGCGGAACACATACTCATTTCCTTCAGTGAGTCTGGTAAACTTAAAAGTCTGTCTAGTCACTGATTCAGATACTGGCAGCCATCCTGGACGATGGGCATCACGCTGTTCTACCACATAACCGCTCAATGGAGCGCCACCATCCAATTCAGGTGGTTCCCAGGAAATGGTAATTGAAGTAGCATCAATTTCATCAATCTTAATAGGCCCAGTTGGAGGACCAGGCTTATCTATGAAAGAGAAAGAAATCCGGGAAATTAATTTTCACTTCAGATCACAACTGGGTGACTGAACATCAACAACTTGCATATATGTGTCTTTGTCACACATCCTTACCAAGAATGATAACTTTGATGGTCTCTGAAGTAGTTCCAGTTACATTCTTCAATTCAAGCGTGTATTCTCCGGTATCTCTGATAGTGGTTTCACGGATGGTTAATTTAGCTACTTTAGTGTGAGTTTCAACTGTGACACGCTCTGATTCTCTTAGTTTAGAACCAGCAAAGAACCAGGAAGCAGCAGGTGGTGGACGACCGGCGATGGGTATCACAAGCTCCACTGGTCTGCCGGCTGGGACATGAATGGTCTTCTGAGGCATTGTAGAAAGATCAATTGTTGGCAACACTAGGAGAAAGAAAGTAGGCCTTTAATTCTTAAGCATTGTTTCTAATGACAAAGTATCATGAATTCAGAATGTTTTCTTTTACTTCACTATTATTGATGTTTTTGGTGATGTGGTACATACCTCTGAGGTCTTGTATAGTCACGGCTGTGATGATCTCTCTTGGTTCCGACACGCCTTTCTCATTTTGTGCCCTTACTCTGAATAGGTACTGTTCACCTTCATTTAAGGAAATAACAGTGTGCTCTAGGACGGTGGGTTTTAAGGTGACAACCTTCATCCATCTCTCGGTGCCAGCTTTGCAGGCCTCAAGAACATATCCAGTGAGTCGGCTGCCACCATCATAGAGTGGTTTTTCCCAGGCCAGAGTGACAGTTGATTTGGTGACATCGACCACTTCTAGCTTTGTAGGCACCAGAGGTACTTCTGAGACCAGAACTGCATCAGATGTTTCACAGGGTTCCCCAATGCCATAAATGTTTTCTGGCAACACTCGGAAATAGTACATGGTTCCTTCTACAAGTCCGGAAATTCGGTAAAGTGTCTTGCTGCATTTGGTAGTTACTGTTTTGAATGCTCTCATGGCAGCTTCACGCTTCTCAATAATGTAATTGTTGACAGGAGCTCCACCGTCAATTGTGGGAATTTCCCAGGTAATGGTCACAGAATCTCTTGATACTTCTTTAACTCTCACCGAAGGACAGGGACCAGGAGTATCTAAAAAAATAGAATGTAAGATTCATACTTATTTGCCGGTTGCTTGATAGCTTTTTGTTTTGTGTCTTCCAGGAACACGTATTCAACATGGTTTCTCTCTAGAGAGGTGATCCTAGGTCAAGGGGTATTTTTTTCTAAGAGATCTACTCACAGCATAGTCAATTTTAAGACCAATACTTACCATATACTTTAACAAGGACTGTTGCTGATTTCTTGCCAGATTGATTTTCGGCTTCAATAGTGTATTTTCCAGCATCATACCGGTTAACTTTGTCCACAATAAGTAAAGAGTAGCTGTCAGTGGTGTCAATAATTGCCCTGTTTGCAAGGTCAATGCCCTTCTTGCTCCATGTGATGACGGGAGGTGGTCTTCCAGATACAGACACCATCAGGCGCAATGAGGCCCCAGCTCTGATGGTCACAGTCTTCTTCAAGTCATCTGCAAGCTCTAGGTCTGGTATTTCTGGAAAGTAAATGTCAAAACTTAATTCACGAACAGGTGTGATGAGACAATAATTCACCTAAAAGCTTATATTATAAATACCTAGTCTTTCCACAGGCTCAATTTCAGCAGTTGACTCACTGTATTCACTCATACCCTTCGCATTCACAGCAGCAACCCTGAAGGAGTATTTCTGGCCCATTTTAAGGTCTGGCACAGTGAATTCAGTATTTCTTATTGTGGCATTGGTATGCACTCGGTACCAGTGATCAGTATCCTTCTCTTGCATTTCAAGAACATATCCCATGATGTCAATGCCACCATCATACATGGGCTTGGTCCATGCCAAACTAATGCTGGACTTGGTGGTATCCACAACTCTTGGAGCAGAAGGTGGTCCAGGGGTATCTGTGGAATTTAAAAAGGGGGATTTGGACATTATACAAATAAGGAAGCTTTGAGGTTTATATTTTTGGTTTTTAAGACTCACAAAGACATTGTTCTTCTCGCCCCCCCACCCCAGTATTTCAAAAGGTCTTTTAATAAGGTTTAGGGGGGAAAAAACCCCTGTGATTTATTAAACTCAATATTTTAAAAGGTCTTTTTATAGTGTAGTAAAGGATTAAAATTTAAAAAAAAAGGATTCATTGAAGATGTATCCTTATGGGCCATAAGAAATACAAGTTACCCTATGATCGCTGCATCTTAACCCACAAGTACGTAGTCACCTTCCTTTCTTCTGATTCTCCCTCCCCCAGAAGAGTAAGGCATTTTTGTTCTTTGTCCACACTCACCAAGATAATCTGTGTAACTGGGCTCCTCTGATATTATAGGACAGTGCTGTATGCTATATCATTATCAACATCATTATTATTTTATTTTAAAAATTACATTTCTTTAGAAAGATAGATGGTTTTTTCCTGCTACTTTGACCAGCTATGTTGGATTCTTCTAGCCCAGCTCATTGCTTAAAATACCTGTTCTCAGGGACTTTTCCTTAGTTGCTCAGCTTTCACAGGGTTAATATCACTTGTCACCTCTGTGTTTCTAATGAGTACAGGAAGTGGTTTCTTCTTCCCCTATTCAGTCACAATGGTATATTCTTTTTAGTCATTGGGCTCAAACTCTGTACAAGGATTTGCCATTTATTTTTGAAGCTCTTGTGACAATAATTTTGTTAGGCACTTATTAGAATACTAACCTTTATGCTCTTCTTAAAAGAGACATTTTTTTTCTTTTTAGTAATTATTATCACTACACCACAATATTTATAAAATCTCTTTCATATTGGTAGTAAAATAATTTTTTCATAGGCTGGAAAATACTGCGATAATTTTTAGCAACGTAACTGCTAACTTATCAACAGAAGTATGGTTAAAATGTTCTGGCTTAGCTGTATTTAAGATCCCTCTAATAAGCATATGCTTTTCTAGATCATTCATAAATTCCAGAGGTTCTTGGAAATGGTATATTGGAAAATTATTTGTAACATGGTTTTGATGGCTTATGTGTGATTCTTGGAACTCACATGATGGTTCTCGGCATGAGATAAAGTTGGAAGCTTCGCTGGGTTCACTGTTACCAGCAGCATTGACCGCAGTGACCCGGAACTGGTAATCACAACCTTCCATGAGGCCAGTCACCTTCAGCCTCGTGTCATATACCACATAGTCTTTGTTGACACGTGTCCAGCGTAAGCTCTTTTTCTCACGTTTGTCTACTAGGTAGTTGTTGATCTCATTACCACCATCAGATTCAGGTTTTGTCCACTGAATGATGATATGCTCTTTGCCAGCCCCAACTTCTTCAGGTATGCCCGGTTGTGATGGAATAGCTGTTTATATTTTTATGAAAATGAGCGTGGTCAGAATTACACAAAATCACTATTGATAGAAATGTCCCCCTCTCCCCCGATCCCATTATATTTAACTACCAAGTTGTTTCAAAGTATTCATACTCACTGAATGAGTTTCTGGCTACAATTGGCTCTGATTCAACAGGCACACCAGGGCCATATTTGTTCACCGCCCGCACTCGGAATATGTATTCATTGTTCTTAATGAGTCTGGTAACTACATGGGACAGGGTTGGGCATTCGCCTTCGACGATCACCCAGTTGAGCCTGCTAGTCTCTCGTCTTTCCACGATGTAGTGAGTTATTTCTGCCCCTCCATCTTCCTGAGGAAGGCTCCAGGCTAAAGTGCACTTTTCCTCTGTTACTCTGCTGACAGTGAACTTTCCACATGGGCCAGGGGAATCTGAAACAGGTGTCAGTGGCAAGCAATGATTCAGATCTTTTTTTTTCTCCACACTTGAAAATTCTATAAAAAATAAAAGAACATTTGACATGCTTACCAAGAACTTTGACCATGACAGACACGGCCTTGGTCCCACTGGCATTCTTCACTGTTAATGTGTATTTTCCACTGTCACTTCTGTCACAGAACTTGATCACAGCAGTTGCTCGTTTGCCTGTATACTGCAAAGAGACTTTTTCACAGAGATCTAGTTCCTTGTCCCCTTTGGTCCAGATAATTTTGGGTTCAGGTTTGCCACCAACTGCAGCATCAAGGACAAGATCCGAGCCTGCTCTGATGGTAACCAGATCACCCTGTAATCTGGCATCCAATTCAGCTTTGGGTGGAGCTGTCACAGGCAAAATGGATATGAATAAATATGACAGTTCATTTTCACAAAAATTGTGATCATTTAAAAGGAGTACATTGATTATTATTTATTTATTTATTTATTTTACCATATTCATCTCTGCAAGTGACAGGGCCTGTAGATTCTGATCCTTTGCTAATGACTCCTGCTGCGTTCTTAGCCAGCACACGGAATTCGTAAGTGTCTCCTTCACTGAGAGCCGTCACAGTGAAGAAATTGTCAGATACAATGGTATAGTTGCACTTTAGCCAGCGACCATCTCCAACCTCACTGACCGGCTTACGCTCTACAATGTAGCCCACAACCTTGCTGCCACCGTCATACACTGGGGCAGACCAAATCAGTGACACTGTTGATCTTGTGACATCTGTCACCTCTGGTCTTCCTGGTGCATCTGGAAGGGATGCAAAAGTCAAGTTAAAAAAATACAACTCTGAATTCTAATGTCAATAATAATGATGATGATAATAAACAAATATAGCCATTCAGTTTTAATACATACCAACTGGGTTTTGAGCCATCATAGGTCTTGAGGCTTCACTGGCTTTGCTAACACCTGCGGCATTGAGTGCATATGTTC